TTTTTTGAAGGAACCAATTGTAGTGGATTGTCTTGTTTCAAGAGATAAAGAATTCCATTCCCTTATTGCCATTGGAACAAACGATGATTTATAAATATTTAATCTACACCTAGGGATACCAGGTTGGATAATCTGCTTATAACAGGAAAAGGCTTCAAAGTGAGCATTATTTTAAAAGTAACGTCAAGCGGAGTGGTACGTTTTTGAAGTAACTCATTGTGACGTAGGCAAGTAATGTTATACAAAATGGATAAAACCGTTTAACCAATCAAATGACACGTTACAACTGGAGTTAAATTATCTATGGATAAAAGTGCTTGCATCCTTATCTTCATTGCTCTTTTACACTAGGTATTGACAAAATATGTTTTGTTTTGAGATTGGATTTATGATCACCATAGTTTTCTAACATTGGTCATTTAGGTGCAGTTGTTAGGTATCACAGTGTGGGCAGACATCCCCCTGGGGATAGACATACTGTCCTGTTTCTGGATTCTTGTCACAGAACTGGATTGTCCAAGACCTGAAGGAAGCTGACCAACTGACCTACAACTACACATGTACATCAAGAAGATTGAAATGGTTAGTTATTTCTGTGAATGTAGGTCAGTAATAAAATAAATGTTGTTTCCTAAAATGAGAAATTTTCTCTGACAGCTGTAATTTAAACAAGCTAATTCAGAGAATTCGTGTCCCCCGCTTAGGGAAAAAGTCGGCTCCCCCTGACTGAATTTGTAGAATTATTAAATGTATACATGTATACTGAAGCAAATAAAATACATGTATGTCAATATGCATATAAAGATTTGATTGCTTATTTTTCATTTTGTGTATAGAAGATTTTTTTATATGGAATTTTTATCACACTGTAATGATGATTTTATAACCTAATAAATTTTTCATTTCACATGCTGAATACTATAATTTATTAAAAAAAAAAAAAAAAAAAAAAAAATTTAAAAAAAAAAAAAAAAGAAAGGTTCGACCGAGATTCGATCCCGGGACCTCTCACACTTGAAGCGAGAGACATAACCACTAGACCACGGAATCGCTGTACATTCAGGGAAGTATATGCAGAAGTGAAGTCACATACATGTATATATTCATGTTTTCATGTTCAGGTATTCTGTTTTACACAATCCATGGTGTTTGATTTATTTAGCCTTTATTAAACAGTTCTAATAGATGTACAGTGTAATAAGAACATAAAGTCCGCCGAGAACCTGTTTTATACGCAATAACTCTCCTTCATGCCCCTGCGCTAAAAATAGCGATATGTAAAACTATAAATACTAATAAAACAAACTGGGCTAATACTGGAGGGGCGAGAGATATATGGGAGTTCTGATTAAGATTACATTGCATAAGCTTCTTCTTTTTATCGCCCGGAAATAATAGTAATTACACACAGAAAAATGTATAAATTTACGACCTTGAACTTTGACCTTTTGACCTCAAAATCAATAGGGGTCTTCATTAGGCCACAGGGAGTTGTTATGTAAAATTTCATTGCAATAGCTCAAATGGTTCTAGAGATTTCGTGTGGAAACGAAAGTGTTTTAACAGAAAATTTGCTTATTTATGACCTTGACCTTTGACCTTTTGACCTCAAAATCAATAGGGGTCTTCTTTAGTCCACAAGGAGTTGCTATGCTAAATTTCATCGCAAAAGCTCAAAGGGTTCTCGAGATATCGTGTGGAAACGAAAGCGTTACAGACAGACAGAAAGACGGACGGACGGACAAACCCAAATTAATATCCCCCACTTTTCAAGCGGGGGACAAAAATTTTAAAAAGTCAGAAGATCTCTTTTTAGAGACTGCTTTTAAAGCCCGAGATAATAAGCACCACCCTCAAATTTACCTGGTCTGTATCCTCCTGTCAATCAAATAAATTAAGGACCATCATTGGGTACTTGAAATTGATTGACATTTGGTTACTAGTCCCTGTGTATTTCTCTTTCGACTTGTTTGACACGATTGGCCAGACCATCAAATTAACTTTCGGTCGTCTGATGTTTACCGCTAAATCACTATCGTAATGAGGAAGCCATTTCGATACAGACAATTTTAACTTGATAATTGACTATGATTATCTTTATTACAAACATTTCATTATAAAATGAAAATGATCTCATAATAGTGTTTCAATACAGCAAATCATGATTGTGTATATTTTTTCTAATGAAAAGTGTATAGGCGACTGTTTTCAGTCGTTAAAAAGATTCTTGTTTTGAGACGCGGTGAAAGCATTATGGATTATGAAGGAGAAAATAAACTGGTAACATTTTTTGCATATATTGGACAGTAATGTTGAAAACAAAATGTCTGATTAGTAACAACTTCGCCTGGACAAGTATTAAATATATTAAGAATTTCTTTCTTTTCTCTTCCTTTTTTAATAACCGAGCATTTCTTGCTACATGGGTTGTTACCTCCAATCAAGGTCACAGGTGTTAAAAATAGTTTCGAAAGAAATACGCAAGTTAGCAATAAATTATTATGTTGTTTTCAGTTGTTTAATTTTTATCTGAATTTACTAAAAATACATATTATTTGTATATAATTCAAACTTTACGAAACCATCATTATCGCGAATTTTTCACAATAAGATACAGAATATGTACATCTGCTAAAAATTGGACCACACGACTTAAACAAACAGGAAGTAACTGTTTATTTGACGTGATCAAGCTCTATTCATTTCCCCAAACTGTTGGGGAACATAATGACCAAACTTGTTTCTTATTATTATTATTATTTTTCTTCTTCTTCTTCTTCCTGGCTTTTTTGTCCGGAATATCTTGAAACTGTTCATTCCTGTAGATTATATGAAAAGACATGTTATCTAGATTTGCGGAATGAAGGTCATTTTCCCGATCAAGAGCGTGCACGTGCAACACGTAAAATGACCAATATAATCGATATAGCGGCAACTTTTTTATTTTTTGAGAATTGCTTTGAAACTCATATATTAGGATATATTATATAAACCAAACTTGCACAAATGTTCACGCACTTGCACGGTGTTCTCAATATTTTCTTGTTTCTTGTCATATTTGAAATTTTGAACATAGTCCTACATTAAAAGATCTACAGCCTGATATATAAGAATTTTCCAAGAAAGCATGCGCAATGCACGTGTGCTGCAAATGATTTGAATTTATTGGCTATAACTTTGTTTTCAACCAAACAAGATGGAATTTGGAACATAGATAGATATAATGGACTTCTACAAGAAGGTTGGTCACCATGCACATACATACATGCGTGTACGTGCGCTGCAATCTGATTGGCTGTTTAAACAGCTATAAGTCCCTTGCACTTTTCAACCAAACGGGGTGGGATTTAGAAATAGATAGATGTAATGGACTTTTACAAGAAGGTATTAAATATGCTCATGTATATGCACGTGAAATGAGTAAAATCAAAAAGACACTTGAATGAGCGTATTTTTTGTGTACTTTTGGATTAAATACTTTAAATTTAAATATATAGATTGTATAGGCAAGATGATATGGTCATTACGCACATGCATTCATTGCGCATTTGCGATGCTATGAATGAACTTGGTACACTTCTGGGTAAACGTTGGTAAAGTAAATGCATTCTATTTAATGAAGTTTACAGGTGGCACCAAAAGGGAGTTGGGGAGCGTTTGGACATTGTAACCCCCGTTACAATTAGCACTAGTTGCTTATTATGAAGAGTTTAAGATTTTGAAAGGGACAGGCAAGGATGAGTATTTTACTTTTGAATTTTTACCTGTGTTTCATTATTTTTCATTTTAACAACAAACTCTAGCTATCGCTACTGTGACATACAATGTATTAAGGACTTTTAACAAAAGTTTGAGATTTTGCTTGTAAATAAAACAAATAAACTGAAATTAAATTTATAATTATCATCAATTATTTCTTATGATATTTTTTATTTATGGTGTTGAGATTTTTTAATTAATTAATGATAAACATTGGCCAACAATGTGTTTTGTTCCTCTGTACATACTGTTTGTGTATAGGGATTATCGCTTCCCACGGTCTGCATGACCGTCAGTGCCTCGGGGTTCCACACATGTAAAATTTAGTCCCTCCCCTTTCCTGAGAAAACCGTACGGTTAAAAATTTCGGCCTTTAACTCAGTTTTACTGTATCTTAACAGATTCAGGTAAACTGTGTGCACAAAAAATTTTCGGGTTTTTAATTGGTATACAGTGAAAACTTGTCTTATTTTGATGTTGTTCATTTTGTAACCTTGCCCTAATAGGAATTGAACTTCAAGTCTCACTGATTTAAAAATGTGGCCTGTTCCGGAATGTTTTCTAATTTGGCCTATTATTTGGGAACCAGTGGTGGTCGGATTTAAAAAAGTTTAATTGTCAATGAAATCAAAAAAGATGTAGGTTTAATACACTACTTCAGAAAAACAAAAGATAAGTTTTGTTTATTTAGACACAGAGGAGATTTGTAAAACAGGAATGAGAGAATAATGTTGTAATTGTAGGTGGAGTCGGAGCTGCAGGCTCTGTGCTCGGGGGCCTTCTCCAGATTTGTGTACTCCTCCCTGGCAGGGGAAGAGGTGGAACTCGTCAACAAGGGGCGAACAGTTCAAGTCTGGTAAGGGATACACTTATAATACCAAATACTCTAGTCAACTGAACTAATACTGGCCAAAATATATGCCTGGCATTGTATATCTTTTGGTTTCTCCCTCTTTTTACTGAAAAAAGTACATGTAATTATGACAAACAGCAAAAATTTATTTTATGGATAAACAAATTGCAAAAAATAAAAAAAGAAAAATAGCCAGCATTTCTACAATGTATAAATTGCTTAGAGTTATAATGTAGTACATGTATTTTAAAAACTTTCTTTTTAACAGTAAAATTCCCAATTTTGAAAGTTTCCTAATTCCTGAAATAAGGTATTCGGTAACTCTTTCAATAGAAACTCTGGGTTTATTATTTAAGTTGGGAAAATAGACAGGAATGTGTAGACGCCATCAGATGACTCAGATTCCAGAAACTTCTGAAGGCAGGGTAAGGGCAGTTCATTGTGGACTTGCATCAGTTATCCCCCTTCAACTGATGGCCCTAATGTCCCCACTGGATCTAGAAATCAGATCCTGTGGATTACCAGTGGTGGATCTTGACTTTTTGAAGGTATTTACTGATATTTTATGGCCTGCAAATCTTGCAATGGCAGTGAAGTTTTTCTTGGAAAATTTATTGATGCAGTAAGTATACACTGTATTGTAACCTTACAAACAAACTTTAATTATTATTAAAGGCTCACACCATGTACCAGTTTGGTCTGATGGAGACTGATCAAAACATCCAGTATTTCTGGAACACGTACTCTGAGTGGACTTAGTCAGGAGAACCTAGGAAAATTTATCAAATTCGCCTGTAACCAGGAGAGGATACCCCAGACCTGTCCCTGCAGGGATGGGGGTGCTGACTCCATGCATGTCCCTCCCTATCCCATGAAGATAGCCCCTCCCTATCCCATGAAGATAGCCCCTCCTGATGGACCAGGTAGGAAGTGGTTGCAAGAATATGAGGAGTGGATTTAGAAACAATTTTTTATGTGTACATAAATTATGTGCTCTGTTCAGTTTAATGATGTGTTGAGTATAATGACCAAGCGTGCATGAATGATTCATCCTACTAGGATGCATACTACCAGATGTACTTGCTTCAGATGCCAAATCTGACGTATATTTTTCAGTTGAGAGAACAGGTTAAAGTTTTTGGTGCAGGATTCATTTCCAAGTAACTGTGAGTCTCATAATGACCAAACTTGCTTGGATGGTACATCTAAGGGTGCATTCTACCAGGCTGGCTTCGGATACTGAATCTGACCTACATCTCCTGGATTAGTGAAAAGATTAGTTTTTTATACAGGTTTCATTTCCAAATTCCAAGTAACTTTGAGCTCTATGCTGAGCAAACTTGCATGGATGATACGTTTTAGGATGCACACTAATGGACTTTCTTCAGATTAATCTGAATTCTACATACATTTTCCAGATCATGGACTGGCGCCCTTAAACATTATGGGTGCAGGTCTATTACCAAGAAACTACATTTATATATTAGGCTTATATAAACCAAACTTGCACAAATGTTGCATCAAGGGATGAAAACTCTCAAACTTGCTTCAGATGCCGGATTTTAATTACGTTTTCATGAAGAAGAACTAGTTTGAACTTTTTATATAGGTCTATTCCAAAGTATCAAATCAAAATTGCATAAATTTTGCATTTTTGGATGTACACTTTTTGTTGGTTAATTGTTTTGACTTGTTTGTAAAGACAACATTCGTTGAGGTGAGCTCTGTATAATATCTGATTACCTATAGGTGCTCTGCACTCCTGAAAATATAAAATAAAATCCTGCCCCACTGGTGAAATAAATTCTATATTCAACTGCTACAAAACATTGAATATCCTCTTTATATTCAGCAGAATTATCCCACTGAATTAAAGGGAACTTATTTTTAGGTGCACTTGATACAGCTTCCTGGATGGTGTGTAGGCGTTTGTCAACATGTGAATTTAAAGATTAACCCACATGTATTTCGGGGTAGGTATATGTACATGTACAATGTATTTTTATTTTGGGTGCACTCAATTGGAACCCTTTCTTTTCCTGAATAATTATTCTTTCTGCTTGATTGGTTTGGAAGGGTAGACTAAGAAGGCCTTCGTAGCCTTCAGCACCAGAGAGGGAAGGATAGCAATTCCAATATGGCATCAAGTGGGTGGGTGAAAACTTTGGGGACTTTTATTATTGTAAATAAAACAAATGAAACTAAAACAAAATACAATTGCAAGAAAGTATTTTTTATAATGCATGAGGGGTAATTCTATTACGAACCATTTTTCCTAAATCAACCATCAAACAACGCACAGTTTCATTAACCATGTAATAATGGGATGAAGATGTGACCTGTATGTAACTTCCCTGAACATTCTCTCAACTTTTTATAATTTTTATACATTTAGTTTAATATTCGACTGTCTAAGGCACTTGATGTTTTTAATTAACCTTTTTTTTTACCTATTAAACTTCCAATACTTTTATATTAAATATATTTTACCACTCTTAGTTATCTATTCAAGTTTCCCTTTCAAACTAATATTTAATGCTTTAAATTAAAATATTCAAATTTTTAAAAAACAACAACTGCAGTTTTTCAAAACATTGCAGATGATATTCCACCATTTTCAATACCCTTCTGAACACTCGATTTAGACATAAAAATTCCCACAGTTCCAACATTCCCCTCTGCTTCTAGAAGGGTCCCAGTCAAGTGCGCCCCCTGGTCTAGATTTTTTTAAAAAGAATTAATCTTTATACAGTGGAGCCTCATTTATCCAGACGCTTTGGTTCCCTGTCAATTTGTCCGGATATGTGAAGCATCCGGATACCTGAATCACCAGTTAAACAATACAAAATTACATTTACAAATTTCGTTCTGATGAAAAATCGTCCGCATACATACTGAAGCATCTGGATATCTGAAGGTCCACTGTATTCTCTTTTATGTATGACAGTATATTAAGAGAATTTTTTGTGAGGATGATGAGGTTGCTAATAATTGAATATCGCTAAAAATTAATCGCAAGTGAGACAGGTAATACTTGCATTTTAAATAAATAATATAGTAAAAAAATAAAGAAATTGAAGTTCTTTAGTCTTAAAACATTCTTGTGGGCAAAATGAGAATGTTCCTATCAATATAATTATAAATAAGGTACAGGAAATGCTTTGTTCTTTAAATATATCATGGTAAATAATGTATTCATTGTATTTCTGTAGGTTGGACAAATGGAGTATTGCCTTGTATTTCTCCAACTGGAGCTGTTGGGATGGAGTCCTGAGACATTTTCCGTAAAGGTGTCTTTCCAAGAATTCTGATGGAGCCTGGAGCAGAGTTTGGAGATATTTTAGCTTTCCGTGTTCTTCCAAGGATTGTCTATTGGTCTTGAGATATTTTCACTTTTCATGTGAGATAGACTCGGGGGATTTTAATGTAGGATCAATCACATCACATGTAACTAACTGGAATTGTAGCTTCACAATGTTAATATATGGGATTGAAACAACATACTTGACATATGGGCCATAGCAATTTATTGAAGCAATAATTTTACAGACTTATTTATTTTTGTATTGTGCACATGACATTTTCCATAATTGATCTGGGATTATGACTATAGCTTTGGAAATTCTTAGTTGTATTATATACACACATATTATTTTTTTTCGCTAATATCTCTTATTAGGAGATTACAGTTGTTGTTTTGAACACTTTTCTGGATGCATTATAGGTTTCCGATGTTATTTGCTTGAAGGAGGTGGTTGTGAAAGAGGGGGGGGGGGGGGGGTAGTGGGTGGCCAAGTGAACCATAGAAATATGTTATTTTGAAATTATCTAAATATAGTATTAAAGATTTTGCTTTGTTTATTTCTTTTCATGTTGTTGACTTACATGTATCTATAGATAGTAACATCAATGAATTTTGCAGGCAAACATGAAATTGTCTATAATGTTTTTGATCTCTTTACATGTACCCCAAGTACTTCATAAAGTAGGATAAAAGAAAAAAATTATTGACCAACTTGTTTTAGGTGTGCATTTGCTGAAGAGAATTAATTAATTCTTTTCAGGGCTTAGAACTGTTTTTAAAATTGGTTATGTAAATATTTGCAGAGACCTGAAGACTATATGTTGTGCTTTATGATTCATGAATTAAACTCGGTCAAAGATGATTCAAAGTCAAACATGCAGAGCACTTTACAATGCATATTTGGATGCTTGCATTTGACACTCTTAATATCTATAAGTGTGCTCTAGACACAGACTATAGTACAGTGCAGGCTGCTTTAATGTACTTGATATTCTAGAAATCATACTTGCATATGTTCACCTACACATATGGATGCTGGTAATCTTATGCTTTGTATACTAGAAGCCTTATGCTTTGTATGCTGGTAATCTTATGCTTTGTATACTGGTAGCCTTATGCTTTGTATACTGGTAATCTTATGCTTTGTATGCTGGTAATCTTATGCTTTGTATACTGGTAATCTTATGCTTTGTATGCTGGTAGCCTTATGCTTTGTATGCTGGTAGCCTTATGGTTTGTATGCTGGTAGCCTTATGCTTTGTATGCTGGTAATCTTATGCTTTGTATGCTGGTAATCTTATGCTTTGTATGCTGGTAGCCTTATGCTTTGTATACTGATAGCCTTATGTTTTGTATGCTGGTAATCTTATGCTTTGTATACTAGAAGCCTTATGCTTTGTATACTAGAAGCCTTATGCTTTGTATGCTGGTAATCTTATGCTTTGTAACTACTGATAGCCTTATGATTTGTAAACTGGTAGTCTTATGCTTTGTATACTGGTAATCTTATGCTTTGTATACTGGTAGCCTTATGCTTTTTATACTTGTACCTTATGCTTTGTATGCTGGTAATATTGTGCTTTGTATGTTGGTAGCCTTATGCTTTATATGTTGGTAGTCTTATGCTTTTTTTACTGCATCTGACCTATATCTACACTATTTCATCATAACTTGCTTTTGTTGCAAGTCAATAATCAGCCTTGCTCATGGGGTACATCCACCTTAGGCTTTGTTTTCAGGTGCTCTGGTATTCCAGGGTTTTGTGTATGTTCAATTTATTTCCATCATTTATATGTCAGAGCTGTATTTATATGTTGCAATTTTTTTTTATGTAAATAAATATGTTGATGAATTTATTATTAGTTCTATAAATTTTTATGGACATTTCTTGTCTATCATGCAATGCCTTAGAAACTAATAGGCCTTTATACATAGGAGCAGCATGGCACAGTGGTTGGATCATTTGTTGTAGAGTTATGTCTGAGTACTAGGACTTGTTCCTAAAATGTCTCTTAGGTTTAAATCTGGGATATCCCCCCAAGAAACATATATTAAAGATCAGTCCTTCAGGCCAGGCACTGGGTGCCCAGTATAATGAAGTTCAAATTTGCAGTCCTCCAACGTCAAGTGGTGATATACCAGTATCTCAATATCGTGGACCTATTTGTATCAGAGCTGAATTGGATCAAGATGTACAATGTTCTGATTGTAATTCAAAGTCTAATGGCTATTAAAGAGAACAGACTTTAAATGAATTTCATATTATAAATTCTTTTAATTTGATATGCATCTAATTTTTGAAATAGAAAAAAAGTTTCTAATTTAAGGAGGAATGCCACAACTTTTTTTTATAGGTCTCTGAGTCAACCTTTTTAAACATTGGTTTCAGCATTGAAAGGTCAACATTAGCTCTTAATTATTTTATATGATATTTATTTTAGTATTTTTTTAAGAAAATGAAACAAATTATTTATATCCAAATAAGTTGTTTTCGAGTTAAAAGTTTGATGTGTAGTGTCAGACTCAGAAACAGATGAGCACGAGATTTGCAAGCATAGTAGGCCTTTTAGCTCATGACATACTGACCTGCCTAATTTATATT